TGGAACAACTTTTGTCTGAACGGTTCGTGTCTGAACGTGACCGTTTCTCGAGACCGTTCTGTCTGAACAGTAGAGGTCAGCTACTTAACACCTCTTCAGGTGTGAAAATTGTTATCAACTTGTAAAGTCCAATTACCTGAACATTTGCATCAAATTGAATTTTAATAGTCCTATAATTTTAATATTGTATTTTTATGTGATAGTATATTTGAATAAGTCAATGTTATATTTATGTATTGATTAAATATTGAATTTTATTAAGTGGATGATAATATCGTATCTTAATATGTTAGCAATATTAGTATTTTATTGATCTAACACCTTGTGTACTAGTTCACAAACATTTACCAACTCCAACTATCTACGGTTAGGTATTAGTTGCTCGTTATTTTAATAACATAGTGTAGATTGTTCAAACTACTCAAAAATTATTTGATCATCCTTAAGTTATATTAGCAACATAGTAGTGTTACAAATTATTATAGTCTTCAATGATATTTATTGAATCAAATTATTCTTCAGTTATTTCTAACCTTTTGACTGTTACAACTTTGTAAAAAAATATATTTTCGAATTTTTAGAAGTGACTACCAAAAAATGACAATATCTAACACAATTTCATATTTAAAATTTATCCAAAGAAAAAATGATACAATATCTCAAAATTTTTAACATAAAATCAACTTGAAAGAACTTAATAAACAAATTGCAATAAAGGAGACATTTATTTGAATAAAATTTGCAAATAAAATGTGCCGAAAGGTAAAAGTAGCTGACCGCCATAGCAAATCACCCAAACCGATTTGTCGAACAAGGGTTTTGCCACGTCTGGCCCTCTCTGCAAATGCTAATTCTCGATTACCGTTTTTGCTTCGTGCCAAATCGTGATTCACACGATTTATAAATCATCTCCGACGGATTATACCGCGGGTAATGTATATCCTGCGGCGTCGTACGTGTACGCGAGATCGCGAGACTTTCAATCATGGTCCGTGTACCGGTGTTCGCATGATTTCGCCGTTTACCAACGGATCCGTCCGTTTGAAAAAGCCGATTGTTGAAGTTGCTCGATGAGGCGTAAAGTGCCGTCCATGCGAAACAGACTTAACTGTTGCGCTACGTTTCTACCGAATATCCTGGAACCAGTGAGACTCCATTTTCTATCGATTAGTATCGTTTAGCGAGCTTTCTCGATACCGTGTGCTATCGGAATATGAAATGTTTGGAGACTTTTGCAGATTTGGAAATTTTTGAATTTGGGAATTTTAGGTGAAGCAATGTGAGAATTTGGGGATTTAGGGATTTGGGAATTTAGGAAATCGAGGATTTAGGGAATCGGGGAATTAGGGAGTCGGGGAATTAGGGAATCGGGGATTTAGGGAATCGGGGAATTAGGAAATTGGGGATTTAGGGAATCGAGGAATTCGGGAATCGGGGAATTAGGAAATCGGGGATTTAGGGAATCGAGGAATTAGGGAATCGGGGAATTAGGGAATCGGGGAATTAGGGAATTGGGGAATTAGGGAATCGGGGAATTTAGAAATTGGGGCATCTAGAGATTTTGGAATTTGGAGATTGGGGAATCTAGGGATTTGGCAATTTGGAGATTGGGGAATCTAGGGATTTGGAAATTTAGAGATTGGGGAATCTAGGAATTTGGGAACTTAGAAATTTGGAAATCTAGGGAATTGGGAATGTGAGAAACTGGGAATCTAGAGATTTAGGAATTGAGGGAATTAGAAATCTAGGAAATTGGAAATCCAGAAAATTGTGAATCCAGAAAATTTAAAATCTATGACAAAAATAATTACAAAAATTGTCAATCAAGAAAATTGATAATCCAACAAATTGGCCATCTAGTGAATTCGTAATCTCGAAATTTAGCACTCGTAAAACACCAAGATAAAAAAGTTTGAGACCCAAACTGAAATTCCTTGTCTGTTTATTTAAAGGCGTTAAATTCGTAATCCCACAGCTCTAACCTTGTTACCCAACAAACGCGACGTATCCTATTTATAAGGATAATTAATTTTGCATTCAAGTTTTAAATAATTCAGGATCAATGGCCAAAACCTGTCGAATCACATTAGCGGCACGAGAATACAATTCGCTATCTATCGCGAATCACTTAACACTTCCACCGAAAAATTCTCGAACGTATTCAATTCCCGGTCGATACTTCCTTCGAATCGACGACGTAGTCGATCGGTCTTGTACGACGATATTTCATATCGGATTCGATCGCGGTTTATTAAAATTTCCACCAGCCTTAACGCGGGAATGGTTACGAAAATATTTGAGGTTTCACGAGCGTCGTAACGAGGCTCTCGCGAACAGAAAGAGGAAGAGAAACGAGGATGAGGAGGAGGGATGGAGGAGTTGCTAGGGACAAAGATAGAGCTAGGAAAGGTGAAGGGGAAAAGAAGAAGGAGCGAGACACAGGTAGAGAATCGTGAAGAAGAAGGCGCAGGTGAGAAGAGGAGGACAAAGAGAAGAGAGGTGGGAGGAAAAGAAGAAGAAGAAGACGAAGAAGAAGAAGAGGACTCGTAGAGAGGGTAGGGAGGGAGGGAGGGTTTGTGACCAAGAGGAAGGAGGGACGAGCCAGGAGGAAGTCAACGTCCGAAGATTACGGCAATGACATTCGCTTTTTCTCACTCTCCTCCTCGTGTTCCTCTCTGACTAGCTGTCTTTTTCCTTTCGCGATCTTTTCCTCTCTTTCGAGTTCGCCGCTCTCGGTGTTGCGTCGTTACCCTTTCTCCGACAACGCGCGGAAAACAACGGTGAAAAATAAAACTCCTTAATATTCGGCGATCGCCGCTCGAACACGTTTGATGGATCGATCGAGATTCGTTTTGGAAGACGAGTTTCTTCGTGCCGCGATACGCCGGTTACGTCCAGTTTAACTCGCTCACGGAAGTCGAGCTCGCAGGAAACCAACAGGTAGAACGATCGATCGTGCATGCTCGGACTTTTGGTTTCGTTTGCATCCGTGATGGGCAAATGTGCCCGGGACACCGCCGGGCACGGACCTTATTCCAGGATCCCCAGTTTTCAAAGTCCCCAATTTTTTAATTCTATCTTTGCCAGCTTTTTCATTTAACTCTGTTATCGATAATCGATACTCCCAACGTTTCCAAATTTCCTGCTTTTAAAAATCTGCAAAGTCAACCACAAATATCCACAGACTGTTTTTCAAAACTTTCAAATATTTACAGTTTCACATCGGTGATTTACTTTTCACTTTCCCAATTTATCGATTCCCCAATTTCTCTATTTGTCAATTTCCCAAGTCAAGAAGTCCTTAAATCCACACGTTTGAAACCTTGAACCTAATTTTTGCACGTTCAGTGCCTCCGGGATATTCGGGCACAGCCCATCACTGATTAGCACCGTCAGAGTGAGTGAGAGAGAGACTGTTAACCGCGTTCGCAGCCGCAGTTTGCCTTTAGTTTCTGATTTTCTTTCCGTTTTGATTTGTCTTTCAGCGATGGATCACGTGAAAAGCCAGGGGACGTCAGATCCACTGAAAATCGGCGGAAAAGGCCGTACTTGCGTGACCCGAAAAAAGTTTTCTCCGTAGTGCGTTCCGCCAGATAAAAGTAGAAGACGTAAGGTCGAACAAAAAAGGGAAAGAAAGAAACGTAATAGAAACAAACAAGGAACAAACGAAGGAGCGACCGATCTCGATCTCTCAACGAATAATGGGTTGAATGCTCGCAACGTTTTACTTTTAATTAGTTCAGAAGCGGAAACCGAGCGGAGGAAAACCGAGAAGAGAACTCGACGATGCCGATGATAACGTTGCTGCGAAGCAACGATATCGTCTTGTCAAAAAATGCGCACCTCTTCGAAGATCCCAAGGATTCTCGCAGGCCGCAGTCAGGACAGTTACGGGTCTTCTATTGTGACAGTTAACGAGAGCGGTCCGGATGTGACACGGTGCCAGTGAAGTGCGGATCGCGACATATGGTCCATGAAAATTTCGATTTTCGTGTTTTTAACGTAAAACTCCCACAGTACGTTCTCGAACACGGTTTCTTTCGCCAGGAACAACCGCGAATCGATCGCGCTCCCTCCACGAACAAAGCCATCGTAGCCTGTTGCTCGATCGCAGCGCGTTAAAGAGGAGAGCTCGAGGACGCGTTAATCGATAAATGTTTTCGTTCGTGCACGAATTCCCCTCGATACCGGGACCGATAAGAGTAACCAAGGGAGAAAAAGAAACTACTTAGTAAATAGCGCTCCTTACGGTACCCGTAATAAAGCATCGCGCGTGTAATCGTATCAGATTGAATAATAAGGTTGCCCAAGGCCACCGAAAACCATTGCCCCCGGTGCTCTCGAGGAATCGTAGCCGGCTCTAACGCCGGGCTTCGAAGGCGACAGATTAACGGATAAAACGCGGCGAGACCCGGCGAGACGTGCCAAAATTATTTGTCACTCGGTTGCGGACAGTTTCATTGAGAATCTGCCGAGCGGGCACCGGCCAGTGACCTCGGTTGAACCGTTCGAAAGGAATGTTTTCTCGAAACCGTAGCATCGCGAGGCCTGCCGATCTCTCGGAGGAAACGCGTCGCTGAAGAGAAGAAGGGAAAAAACCGAGGGACAGGATGTGCTCGAGGTAGAGTTTCCAGGTCCTCGAGGAACGAAAAGTTTAGACCAAGTTCGCCGGAAGTAAACGCAAAGTGTCGGGTCGAAGGAACGTGTGCGGTCGTAAAGTGAACGCGGGGTGATTTGTGGATCATTTCCGGTGAAGGACTGTTCGGTGACATCATCCGTCGCGAGTCTTATCGCGAAAGGGACATTCGTAAACGGACAATCTTTAAGTGTCCTTAGCTCAGAATCTTTCGACCAAGGAATCTTGGAACCGCATGGACGGAAGTTCGAGTATCGGAGGCGGTAATCGAGAGCGAATCGGAACAAGGTAACGAGGCAAGCACGCGAATGGTGACCGCAGTTGGTACCGAGGTGCACCATCGCCGACATTTTCTGTTCGTACAATGGACGTTTTCAAAATCGACCAGTCGCTGAGCGCGGGTCTGGGTAGCGCCCCGGCACCAGACACCCTTACACCGGAAGTGTCCTTTGACGCCGGTAGTGAGTTCAATCTGAGCTTCTTCGACGGACCGGAGGAGAACAGCACCCAAGGATTCAGCGATCCCGGTTCTGTGGGTAGTGCCAGCGCGTCACCTCCGCCAGGAACACCCGGAAACATCCCCGTTAACCCCTCCAACGCTGCCCTACCGATTGTCCAAGTACCCTCTGGCATCGTCATTAAGCAAGGTTTGTTTCATTTTCTTTTGTTTCTTTCCCTTTATTTTCTCTTTGCTGGCTATTCGCTTAATACTGTGTTCCGGATCCGTTTTTCTTTCGTTACTCTTATTTCTTGTTTTATTGACATTTGTAACTTTGGCATTGGCGTAACTAATTTATTATTTTCTGAGGGTTTTAGGGTTGTAGGATTATAGTTTTAGGATTGTAGGGGTTTGGATGTAGTATAACTTTAAAAAAATTTGGGGCTTGGGGTTTGGGAATTTAGGGATTGGGGGATATAGGGATTTTAGGGTTTAGGGATTTGGGAATCTGGGATTTTGAGAATTTAGAGATTTTGGGATCTTGGGATTTGGGGAATTAGGGAATCAAGGAATTAGAGAATTGGGGAATTTAGAGATTGGGGAATTAAGGAATTGGGGAATTTAGAAATTGGGGAATTAGAGAATTGGGGAATTAGGGAATCGGGGATTTAGGGAATTGGGAATTTAGGGAATCGGGGAATTAGGAAAATGGGGAATTAGGGAATTAAGGAATTTGGAAATTGGGGAATTAGGAAAATGGGGAATTAGAGAATTAGGGAATTTAGAGATTGGGGAATCTAGGGATTTGGGAATTAGGGAATTGGGGGATTTGGAAATTGGGGAATTAGGGAATCGGGAATTTAGGGAATCGGGGAATTAGGGAATCGGGGAATTAGGAAAATTGGGAATTAGGGATTTAGGGATGGGGGGATTTAGGGATTTGAGGAATTAGAAAATTAGGGAATTAGAAAATTGGGGAATTAGAGAAGTGGGGAATTAGGGAATCGGGGAATTAGGGAATCGGGGAATTAGGGAATCGGGGAATTAGGAAAATTGGGAATTAGAGAATTAGGGAATTTAGAGATTGGGGAATCTAGGGATTTGGGAATTTAGAGATTGGGGAATCTAGGGATTTGGAAATTTAGGGAATTGGGAATGTGGAGATCTAGGTGCCTTGATTTTCTAAATTTCAAACCCAAATTATCTCTACAAATAAATTATCTCTACATTCCTCTCGATAAAATAAAATCAGTATATGTTTGTAAGATTTTGCGGTTTGTATTTATAATGGTTACGCCAATGCACATTGTTCTTTTTATTGCTTTTCATAGTCTACGCGCGAAATATCATCTACAAGAACATTTCGCAACGTTTCAGGCGTCTTTATTATTACACGTACGTTTTCTCGCGCGATTTGGCAACGCGTTATGAAAGCGTGCAGGTTGAAAAAGCAGCTCGTCGCTCGCTTACAACGAGATTTTGTTATGGAACGAGAAAAGTGGTGATTGATTGATTCGATTTTACACCGAACGAGATTACAGGTATAAAAAAAGGGACAACCAGTGCGTTGTTATTGAAAACAGATTTAAATATTGTGGAAACCGGTTGTACGTACGACCATTCGAGAGAGTGATTTCCATTGCTATACGTGCACCGAATACGTATTATTATACGTGTTGGTAAATTGGAAAAATGTTGCGGATTATATGGGGTTCTGACTCGCTCTTAAAACGAGTATTAAGCGGAAATGATTTATCCAAACGTGTCATTAATTCTATTTAATTTGAGGAGTTAACTATTACAGAAATTCTTACAGGATTTACATAATTATCAGAATTACATAATTATTTAATGTACTATATTTACATATTTAGTCACATCTTTAATTTATCAAATTCTTGCCTTCAAGTGTGAGAAGATAATAATTTTAATATCCGTTTTTAATATTAATTAATATTCGTTGTAGCAAATATTGAATTTACACTCAGTACATTCAGGTACAACGCAGACTTACACAATAATAAAATTGTTGTTGGTTTTGAGAAAATCTAGGTCAAACGTAGAGAAATCTTGTTTGCATTCATACTCATACAATTAGGATGCCTGCATTATGAGTACCCAAACGTCTACTCTTGAAGTCTACAAATACCATATGCATCTAATAAATTTTCAGTCGAATAAGATTTGCATCACTGTCAACCAGACACCACTTAACAAGATAGTTAAATACACCACATAAAATTATGACTTTTACTAAAAACTCTTTATAACATGCTTTTTCAACGAAGTACGTCCCAGGTGTTACGAAATACCCCGTATAAATGATCATTCTATCGAATTAAAACTTTAAGTTTCCAACGAAAGAAGATGACGACAAAGAAGTTTCATCTTACAGTATTCTTCTTAACTACTTAAACAGGAAGCTCGACGGGCATGTTTCAGCGGCACGTGAAACTTTCACGTTGGACCTCCACGAAACTTTCAATTGTTTTAATATGATATCGTTTTCCACTTTGCAATTCTGATTCGCGGACGTTAGGTCCGGAGCTGATCTGCCTCTGGGGAGAATTTGGCGACCGATGTATTTTGGGGATTTCAAACTTGAGTATGTAATTAGAATTTGGGGACTTGTGGAGGGTGGAATTTGGGGAGTTGGAAAATTTATTTGGGAATTTGGGGATTTGGAGGTTTAGGAATTTGGAACTTGAGGATTTAGAAATTCTGGTAATTGGGGATTTAGGAATTTTGGAGGATGGGTATTGGAGGGTGTAGGAATTTGGGGATGTGAGAATTTGGGAATGTGGGAATTGGAGAAGGTGGAATTGGGGATGTAGGAATTGGAGAAGGTGGAATTGGGGAATGTGGGAATTTGGGGATGTGAGAATTTGGAAATGTGGGAATTGGGGAAGGTGGAATTGGGAAATGTGGGAATTGGGGAATGTAGGAATTGGGGAATGTGGGAATTGGAGAAGGTGGAATTGGGGAATGTGGGAATTGGGGAATGTGGTATTGGAAAATGTGGAATTGGGGATGTGGGAATATGGGGGTGTGGAAATTTGGGGGTGTGGGAATTGGGGAATGTGGGAAATTGGGGATGTGGGAATTGGGGGATGTGGGAAATTGGGAATGTGGGGATTGGAGAATGTGGGAATTGGAGAAGGTGGGAATTGGGAAATGTGGAATTAGAAAATGTAGAATTGGGGATGTGGATCCAGGTACTTGGACGTCTACCATATATCCAGAGCTTCAGTGGTCTATCTAGAGATTTAGAGATCTATAAAATTGTGAACCTAGTAATTTGCGTATCTACATATCTATCAATCTATAAATTTAAAAATTAGCAAAATAGAAAGTATGCAAATTCATAAACTTGCACCGTAACTCTCCAAATATAAAAATGATGAAACGTCTTATCAAAAGGAAGTGTACAATGCAACGAAGTATACATGTTCGCGTTCTCTTTCTCGTCTCCACGTAAAGGTTACGATACAAATTGGAAAAGGTCGTCGAACGTTTTGCAATATTCGCGATTCATCTTGCGCCGAGCACAATGCTATCGAAAGTCTCGATGCAATATAAATCCATAACCCAGCTACCATCGGTCTACCGATTTCTCTTTCAATTGAGTTTTCTTCGCTCGCTCCCATTGTCCGTTGGAAATATCGGATCGAAAACTGGTTTCTTACATGCTCGTTGTGAATCCAGCTTCATAGCTAACCCCTTTATCCCCTCCCCCTCTAGTTTGCAAAGAGAGCGGAGGGCTGACATTTCACTCGATGCAAGAGTTGCACCGGGTGAAATACGTTTCTTCTTTAGGGCCTATGTAATACAGATCTCCTGTGCTTTTACGTAAACGTAAAAGTTGAGGAAATGCGAAAATCGTGTAAGCCGATCGCTGATCTTAAGAATAAAACATACACGCAACATTTGGTATTTCCTTTTTCGGTGCACCAATGTTTCTCTTTGGAAAAAATATGTCCTGTATTGTGTTGTTTATGTAATACATATGTTGCACGTGTGTGATGTTAGAGATAGATGGAAGGTAGATGTACTATTTGGATATTCTTTTTTTAAATATTCTCTATCAATGTATCTCTTTCAAAGAAGTACATCAAGTACAATGTTGTTTATGTGACACATATGTGTCATATGTGTTGAGACTCATATGTGTCATATGTGTTGAGGTTAAAAAAAAATGGAAGTCTTTTTTAAATATTCTATATAAATTTCTTTCTTTCAAAGAAGTACATCAAGTACAATCTTGTTTATATGACACGTACATATGTGTCACATGTGTTGAGACTCATATGTGTGAGGTTAGTAAAAGACAGAAGTCAAGTGAACAATTTGGAAATTCTTTTTTAAATATTCTACATCAATGTATTTCTTTCAAAGATGTACATCAGGTACAATCTTGTTTGTGTGACACATATGCATCACATGTGTGAGACTCATATGTGTTGAGGTTAGAAAAAGACAGAAGTCAAGTGGACAATTTAAAAATTCTCTTTTAAGTATTATACATTAATGTATTTCTTTCAAAGAAGCACATAAAGTACAATCTTCTTTATATGACACATATGTTTTATTCATATGTGATCAGGTTAAAGTAAGATGGAAGTCAGATGGACAATTTGAAAATTCTTTTTTAAGGATTCTACATCAATGTATCTTTCAAAAAAGTACATCAAGTGTAATGTTGTTTATGAGAAACATATATTTAGCTTGTAAGTGCATGTTTATATTTACCTAATAATAACCTATAACACTTACAAGATAAAACAAGATAGAGTGTAATGGTGTCTAAATAAATATCCCTGAAGAGATCCCATCGAGGGGTAAAACAATAAAGAAAGAAAAAAACTTGAGGGCACCCTTCACAGTATTCAGAATGGTAATAAATTGACCTGAATTGCACCGCGTTCTTGGTATTACAAAATCGTGGTCGAAAGAAAAAAAGAAAAGAACGATATAAATAGAAGTTTCGATACATCATTTAAAGTTCAGCAGCAGCGGTACGTAAATAGATGTTACAAGGATTCGAAGTGAGATACCTGTTTCGTTGAAAGAATAATGCGAGTTATTTTGACAAGCAACGTGCCAATCAATACTCGAGTACTCCGCGTTTTGAGCGTATAAAATCAATATTGTAGAGATACATCCGTTAACCTACATTCAAAAATCTCTTCGGGCTTCAATGTTTCCCGT